AAGCTGCGCTTAGGGGACCAAGTGCAGCGGCTTAGCAGATCTGTGGCATCTGCGGCAGCCAACAAGCACCGCATGGTTGTCCAGGACTATGTCAAGGACGCAGTCTGCACCTTCTCCTATGGAGGAGGGGAAGTGAGACATAAAATCTCATTCCTTGTCAGCGACGAACTGCCATTTGACATGCTGCTAGGTATGTACTACCTCGAGGTCGCTCAACCTCAATTCGATTGGGATAGAAAGGTATTGATCCACAAGTTGGCCAACGGTAGAACCATTAGACTGCAAAAGTTCAAAGCTAGCAGTATAGTGGAAAACTACGGGTTCATGTGCGCATCTTCCTTCTATAACTACTATAAGCAGAACCGCGAGGAAGGCATGTATCTAGTCTCTGTCTCTGAGAAAGGAGAGGCCGTAAAATCACCCCCATACATAGAATCAGTCGTCGCTCAATATTTTGATCTTTTTTAGGAGCCCACAAGTGTGGTGGAAAAGGAGGTAGTCCATGCAATAGAGGTTGTCCCAAGTAGTAAGGTGCCTAGAGGACGAATCTATAGGATGTCTCCTGCGGAGTTGGATGAGCTCCGCCGCCAGATCAAAGAGCTCACAGAGAAGGGATGGATTCGGCTTAGTACCCCCACTTACGGTGCGTCAGTCTTATTTGTCCCTAACAAGGTAGGTAAGATGTGCATTGACTTCAGGGCCCTCAATGCCATCACCGTAAAGAAAGTAGAGCCCCTACCCCGCATCGACGACCTGTTGAATAAAGTGTAGGGATGCCGAGACTTCACAAAGATAGATCTGAAGTCCGAATACCATCAAATTGCTATTAGACCTGAGGACCAGCACAAAACCGCTTTTCAGACCAGGTATGGTCTGTACGAGTTTGTGGTGATGCCCTTTGGCCTATGCAATGCCCCTGGAACATTCCAGCACGCAATGAAGAGGATTTTTCATGATTACTTAGACAAGTTTATTGTCGTGCACCTCGACGATATACTTATCTTTAGTAAGATTGTAGAGGAGCACGTTGAGCACTTGACAATAGTGCTAGGTCTCCTAAGACAGCAGCAGTACAAGGTAAACTTGGAGAAATGCGAGTTTGGTCGCACGAAGATCTTGTACTTGGGTCAGGAAATCTCCGTGGATGGGTTGAGGCCAGACGATGCCAAAGTGGCCAGCATACGAGACTGGCCCAGACCTCAGACTGTTACTGAGGTCCGGTCATTTTCGGGGATGACGGGTATTACCGTCCGTTTGTTAAGAATTATAGTACTATAGCTTCCCCACTAACTGACCTAACTCGCCTTGACACCCCTTGGGAGTGGGCTGAAGAGTGTGAGGCAAGCTTCAGGAAATTGAAGTATGCTCTAACACACTATGAAGTTCTCAAACTTCCGGACCCCGAGCAACTATTTGTAGTGACCACAAACACCAGCCAATATGGCATGGGCGCGGTCCTTGCACAAAGGGAAGGGAAAAAGTTGAGGGCACTTGAGTACATGAGCAAAAAGATGCCATCCCAAAAGCTAGCGAAGTCCACGTATGAGCGGGAGCTTTATGCCCTCTATAGAGCGCTGGTTCACTGGAGACATTATCTCCTAGGCAGATTCTTCTACTTGAGGTCTGACCATGAGACTTTGCGTTGGATCAAGACACAACCTGTACTCTCTGACGCACTCAAACAATGGATTCAAGTGATAGACATGTATGACTATCAACTTGATCCAATCAAGGGAGAGTATAACAAGGTGGTTGATGCACTATCACGTCGGGCAGATTATCTGGGCGTGCTAGTCACTGAATTTGGCATATCTCACGATCTAACTCTATCTTTGGTGGAGGCCTATCGACAAGATCCAGTTATGTCTGAAATCATTCGTAGATTTCAAGAGAAGGATAAATTAACTTCTAACGAATTTACGATGGTAGATGGCTTGCTTTTTCTTGAGAAGGGAGGGAATAAAAGGTTGTGTGTTTCAGATAGAGAGTCGTTGCGTAGTTTGTTTTTAGGGGAGTGCCATGATGCAACTGGTAATTTTTATCACGTCGGGCAGATTATCTGGGCGTGCTAGTCACTGAATTTGGCATATCTCACAATCTAACTCGATCTTTGGTGGAGGCCTATTGGCAAGATCCAGTTATCTCTGAAATCATTCGTAGATTTCAAGAGAAGGATGAATTAACTTTTAACGAATTTACGATGGTAGATGGCTTGCTGTTTCTTGAGAAGGGAGGGAATAAAAGGTTGTGTGTTTCAGATAGAGAGTCTTTGCGTAGTTTGTGTTTAGGGGAGTGCCATGATGCAACTGGTCATTTTGGCTATAAAAAGACTTCAGCCAATTTAGTGCATAAATTTTGGTGGCCTTCTATGATGCAAGATGCCACAAGATATGTGAAAACCTGCCAGGTTTGCCAACGGGACAAACCTAGGACTCTGGCCCCGCTTGGGCTTCTCAAGCCCTTGCCGATTCCTGAAGGTCCTAGTCAGAGTGTGTCCGTGGACTTCATGGATACTCTTGTGACCAGCAGGACTGGCAGGAGACACATCTTTGTTATAGTAGACCGCTTTTCCAAGTATGCAAGACTTGTCGCTGTGCCAGAGACTGCTAAAACTGATATGTCATCAAACTGCCTCTGGATAACTGGGTACGCGATTTTGGACTCCCTACGTCTATCGTGAGTGATAGGGATGTAAGATTTACCAGCAAACTGTGGCAATCAACAGCTGAACAGATGGGCACCAAGCTGCAAATGACGTCAGGGAATCACCCTGAGTCAAATGGCCAGACAGAACAGATGACCCGAGTAGTGCATCACCTGCTTCAACATTATATTAAGCCAAGTCAGGATGACTGGGATGAGAAGTTACCTCTCGTGGCCAGTCTGTACAACAATGCTGTGCGCAGTGCTACTGGTATGACTCCCAACCAATTGCATCTTCGTTGGAAGCCGATAACTGCACTTGACTTTCTACTACCCGAAAGACAGCCCACTGCAGCACCTGGCAGCATAGAGTTTGCTGTTGAGTATGAGAAGATGCTGCAGCAGGCCGTCGAGCATATCAGAGAATCTCAGAAAATCTCAGGATGCTATGATCGCATCAGAGAATAAGCATAGACGACCCTCTAACTTTCAGGGAGGTGATAGAGTCTGGGTTAAATTATCTGAACTGGGTCAAGACCTGGGCATATCTTGCAAACTAATGCCACAGTATTTCGGTCCGTGGGAGGTCCTAGACATAGTGGGGGATCAGATAGATGGACCACCTTATGTGATTCACATCCCATCTCATTTACATACACACCCAGTTTTTCACGCCTCAAAGCTGGCACCTTTCGCAGAGACGGCACAGTTTCCCTCCAGACGATCAATGCTGCCCCCACCCATGGATGGTGAAGTGGACATTGACGGAATCGTGGAGCATCGAATGATGCCAGTGCCTCAACAGCCAGGCAGAGGCCGCCCTCCCAAGCGGAGGATACAATATCGTGTCAGATTCAGACACCATCTTGATCCCAGCGAAGATCGGCGGTTCACAAGAGAAGAACTCCTGAGAACAGCACCTCAAGTGATTGCAGGCTATGAAAGAGAACTCAAGGGAAAGATGCCTGCAGATTAGAAGACTTCTCAGAGGACTGTCGAAGTAAAGGAGGAGGGAATGCCAGGATCTGGGTCCTCGGCAGGCCTAAGGGGCCCTGATACAGGTGTGCCCGCCCTAAGTGAAGGCGGGCCTAACAACTGGCGAGAGGCCCTCTGCTGTCAATTTCGTATTTGGGGTCCAGGCAGTTGTGACGCACCAGTTGGTTGAGGGAAACACAGGCCGAGCAGCACAGATATTCCACAGCCTTCCAGGCCCGGAAATGCAGGCCCGGGATAAGAATCGCAGCCTCATACACAGACAGTTGGGAGGCCCAACCGAACGAGGCCCAGCAGCTGCAACAGAGGCACAGCCTCCTGGGGCATACCGGAAGCTTATGGGCAGAGGCCCAGGCCAGTCAGGCCGCCGGGGCAGGCAGACTCTTTCCATATAGGGAGGAGCTCGCTGCGTGGGCTCTCATTCGGGCACTTGCATGCTAGCGGCAGCGCTGCTGGACCAGACACTCGTGGGCTGCTGCTGGCGCTGAGAGGCAAGGTGCAAGCACGTGCGGTCGTGTGTGAGTGAGGGCGCTGCTGAGGGCAGCGCCATAGCCCAGCCTTCATAGCTGGCTCGGGCTTGGTCTACAGTGAGGTGCAGGGGTGGTCTTCGGGTGTACAGAGGGAAGACGTGGGTGTAAGTCAGGGGAGAGAGAGAAGGATGATGACGATGATGATGATGATGTGAGGGCACATACCTGGTATTGGCGATGGACTGCATCGAGCAACATCTTCAAGTACTTCATTGGCCGCTGACGTCAACAGTTGCATTGTCAATTAGTAGGCAGACAGTAGCTGTGTAGGAAGTAGGCTGGGCGCCGAGCGCCAAGTAGGGAGAAGGGACTGGACTCCTATGTTGGTGGTGGCGAGAGCAAGCTCTCATTGACATTGGTTTTCAGTGTTACAAATCTCCATTGGTGTTATATTGGTGCAATGCTGCTTTCTGGTCACTGAGATACTATCTGGCTGTCAATGTGATTGTGCATTCTGGATATTGTCATCTCGCTGTTGCTCATTTTCCTTGCAATAGCCTGAAAACTCTGCACAGAGTTTTGACAGATGCTGGTCCCAGTTTTGTAGGTGCTTCCTCTTCCTTTTTTTTTTTTTTTTTCCGGTTGAGCATCGCTCCGATGGGCCATGGATCAGATATCAAACCGATCTGTAACATATACTATATGCATGATCTTACTTTTTGCGAAAACGCTGACGAATGTATTGGCTGTCCGCTCTCTTCCGTATTCAGCCCCCCGGTCCTCTTCTGTTAAGTTGCACGGAGCCTCTCCCCCTTTTCGCTCTGCAACCCATTTGCTTACTGTTTATGTTTCTCGTTTATATGTCGGTGAACGCTGCCTCTTAATTGGATGCAGGTACGAAGAACATCTCTGGCAAAATAAGCGCAACTACTACAATCGGTGTGCGGTGCTATTCGGCTCCTTTATACAGCTAAACCGGCTGTACACAGACAGCCCTCATATGCAGGGTTACAATGGTGACACAAACACGCTGAACATGTCGGCGACCGTTCCAAGATTCACGTATTTGCCAATCAGGTATATGTCGAGCGGTGAGCAAGTAAAAAAAAAAAGGGAGAAAGAAAGTTGAGAAATAAAATTCAAATAATGCAAAAGAGAAATGTGTTTGTCATCCATGCGCCTCTCATCCCCTCTGCTGCCCCCCCCCCCCCCCCCCCCCCCCCCCCCCCCCCCCCCCCCCCCCCCCCCCCCCCCCCCCCCCCCGGCACCCCTCCCTCTCCCAATCCCCTCCGCCTATCTTGTTCGGACGACCATTGCTGGAGTGGCAGAGTCGGGCACGACCAACCAGGCAACGGGGAAAGTGCAGGGTGGGAACCTGGCGCCTTTCACCGCTCAGAGTTTAATTGGACAGGTTTTGAACAGGGTGGGAATCGGAAATAACAAACAAAAAAGGAAGAGAGAAAGTATTTACAACAAACAAAAAAAGAAGAGAGAAAGTAGTTATGGGCAGATGTGCACTGGAATAGAGCAGTCAGAATCTGTACTCATATTTTAATGTTGTGATGGTCTGCCCAGGGGATGGCAGGTGCAGGCTCGAGAGTTAAAAGTGGGGTGCACCATAGCGCCTTTTTCATTGTTGTTGTTCAAAATTTCAGCTCTGTCGTCCATGCGCCTCTTCAGAATGGACCATAGCACCACCATAGAAAGGACTTTTTTGAAAGTGACACTCGCCCAAAGCTGGTTTGCGATGTGACCATATCTGTCACACCCTGGTGAGGTGTGGGCAGTTTGCTGTGTGCTTGTCCCTTGGAGGTTCTCCAGCATAGCGATACCCGTTGAAGGGCAACCGAGAGAGCTCGCCTCTCTCCACCCTCCACAAGGTCCTGCTGGACTAGATGGAAGCACTCGCCCTCTCCCCAGCAAGCTACCGGTACTTGGGAGCCATGTTCCACTCGGTGATGGTGGGTGTGAGACCTGCAAGTCTTCATACGTGTGGTCCCGGAGGGAGTATGCCCTCGGGTTCTGCCAGTTCGGTGCAGGACCAACTTTTTGGAAAACCCATTACCCCCCCCGGCGAACGTGCTGCAGTGTCCCTACTATCTGTCCGAATTACGAGTTTTTCCTTGAAAGAACATTTTGCATCTACGCTCTTCTGACCTAGTTTGAGTTTGGTCATTGATTCGAGCGGAAGTTTTTTTTCTCTGGTTTCGCTGTTAAACGTTTATCGGCTTTACCGAGATCCCTCTTCCCATGATCATGCGGAACATATTGGTGTTGATTGAGGGTGTATGTGTTCTTGAGTAGGATGATAATGGTGAGTACTCCCTGAAGGACTTTATTAAAAAAAAAGTCGCAATGTTTTCCTTCCCTATGGACCCTATCCCTATTGCTATCCTTCCAACGTATGGAGCAGATGGATGATTGGTGACCCGTGTTTGTTTTGGTGGTTGGATATCTTTTGTTGTGTTCTGTTATACGGGCGGGTTGATGTTCCTGTTTCTGTAATTGACATCCTGCTTCCTGTTTGCAAGATGTTTTTTTTCTAATAAATAAAGTTTGTCTGTGGGTCCCGCTCCACGACAGAGGATTCTTTTTTTTTTTTTTTTTTTTTAATAACAAAACAGTTCCTTATGGGCCTGGCTCCTTTTCCATTCTGGGGAGCGTCAGTCCTGTTCCTATTCCCCCGGCAATTGAATACAATATGAGAAAACACACTCACGCAGAGACCGCTTCCTTCCATATGGCCGAAGGACCCCTGACCAGCATTGATTGCTCCAGAGGATTCTCATTGGATCCGGAATGCGGAATGTTCCCGATGCAGTCAATATGTTGGTTCAATCCGAGCGTACTTGGGCTACAATATGGGCCAGGTGAAGATTATATGCGGAACGGGCGATGGATTGATTGATGATCGGGCATTGTTTTGTCTGTGTAGTGGAGTGAGGCCTTCTGTCTCTGTCCATATACCTTGCATTCTGTTTGAGACATTGTTTGATTGCTTGATTGCTTGATTGATTGCTTGATTGATTGCTTGATTGCTTGATTGATTGCTTGATCGCTCGCTTGCTTGATTGATTGATGGATGGATGGATGGATGGATGGATGGCCTTCTGGTACATCCGTTAAAATTGGAATGATATCTTGGATTCTGTTTGGGAAATAGATTGATGGATTGATGGGTTGTTCTCCGGGACATCCGTTAAAATCGGAATGATACCATGGTTGCATCCCTGCCGACCGCCGACCGTATTGCAGCCAACCTGTAGGGCCGACCGGTCGACGGTCTGCCGACCAGTCAGAAAATTGACTTACCGTGAGGGCACGGGTGCGCAGCCCGTAGTTCGTTTGTTTAAAAAAAAAAAAAAAAAAAAAAAAAGGTAGTGAGTATGCTGTATGTATGTTTTGTCATGTTTGCTATACACAACTCGAAGAGAGTATGTGTGTGGGGTCCCAGTTGGTGCTTTATTCACGATGTTCATGGGATGCTGGACCCAGTTTCCAGCAGGTGACGCTCCCCATCAATAGACAGGATAATGTATGTGCGTGTGTATGTGTGTGTGTGTGTGTGTGTGTGTGTGTGTGTGTGTGTGTGTGTGTGTGTGTGTGTGTGTG